CTGCTGCCCGGAGAGTTTAGCTAGAAAGGCATCAGCAGCATTGGCAGCAGTACAATACAATGCATGATGTGCACAATGAATACATATATCATTTACTCTCATTCTCCATCTGCATTGGCATAGCAACCGGGCAACATCGCGACAAGAGAGAGAAAGAGAGAGAGAGAATGGAAAATTTCACCGAACATCGGAAACCGGCGCACAATGATTAAAACATATCTCGCATCCCATTGCATTTGGCATTGTAGTGTCTGTGCCCCCAGCACCAATATCAAGCGGTCATTCGTGGCTCACAGTCTCTCTCTCTCTCTCCCATTCTCTCTGGTTCAGCTCAACGCTCTCAACCCAGCATGCACAATGGAATCGATGAAAGGAGAACGTGCGACTGACCGTGCATGCAAGCAAAAGAGATAGATACAAATGAAATGACGAGAATATATTATAAAAAATGGATGGGGCAAAACAACACAACGGAGAGAACCCAAACGTGAAAACGCCGACAATAAATGTAACGAACATTATGCACAGAATGCAATCGTTTTTCATTTCAGAATGGTATTTTTCTTGAAGCGTCAAAACTCTCCGGACTATTTTCTGCTTGATGATTTTGTGAAGCAGTAATATACACACAATAGCGGCAACGAGTGCACAGAGGAAACAAAAATCACGTCTTGTCTTATAAAATGAGAATCTGATATATGAACTATTTTGTACAATGAGATAAATGTTAGACAAAATGAACACATTAAATACGAATGCAATGCAGCGAGTGCAGAATGTATAACTAAAATTAAAAATAAAAAAATGAAAGAACGAACATACTATTGCTAGCATTATTACATACAAATGCACATGAAACGAACTACATTTAAGCTGATAAGAATCTTTCCGCGTAGACAGCGGAATGGATTGTTTGCAGAAAGAACTGAAACGGATCGTAATTTGAACCAAAGATGTATTAAACGAACAAAAAAAAGCAGTTTCAAAGAGCATACTAGAAGAAATGCCACCTTTTTGAAATATAATTTGACTTGACTTGTATTCCGCATCGCAATATGCGATGAACTACCGCTGAGTATGCTTCAAAATAAATGCATTTAGCACACTTCATGATATGAAATTTCAATCGAAAATAGCATGTCTAGAGAATGGGAAGCAAGTGAAAAAATAAAATTTGAGAATAAATTGGAATCAGCATTGGCTATACTTACATCGATAATAGTTTCGTCGCCCGATGCCCAACGTGTTGGCGGCGGTTGTGGTGTTTGCTTGTGGGAAAAATGCGGAAAATCAGCTTCGTGGGGATGTCGTTGGAATACGTAACCAACGGCTGCATCGTCTTGCGACCGATGTGACGATGGTCCTCTGCCACCATTCATATCGTCGTTTGCACCCAGCAGTTTCATTTTAAAACCACTTGCTTTCTATTTTCTTTTCGTGCACTTTTTTCTTTCTTGCTTTCACTTGTCGCTTCTTTCTTGTTCTTTAGTGTTAAATTCTTTTTTCTTTCTCACTTTGTTTGATTTTCTTACAATTATTTACACCGAGAAATGTGTCAGATTTTTCTTCTTTATCTTTTTTACACTTGTTTTGAAATGTAAATCACACGCAAATCAACTTTTTTACGTTCACCAGCTGAAAATAAAAAGAAAACATACAAAGAATTTATCAGATAATTGAATTTTTCTTTCCTTAACATTCTATTGTGTTACATCGCATAGGCTAAATGTATTTTGGACATGTTTTCGAGTATTTTTTTTTTGAAAGTCAGATGCATCTATATGATGGGAAAAGTGATGATGAAATTGCAAGATTCGGTAAATAAAATTTATTTAATATGATGTGATTAAAAATTTTGATTCATGTAATGATTGCTGTAATTCTTTTATTTTTCTTTTGTTCGTTAGAACGTATTCGTGTGTTCGTTCATCAATTTATCACCTGAAATTGGCAAATATACCGCAGCGATAAAGAGTAACTTAGGCTTGGTTATGTAAGCATCAAGCCAAATGGAATTTCTTTCGTATTGCATAAAAAGAAATATAGAACGAAAATTACATCAAAAATGCAATTCACATAATAAATGATTGCAACGACCACAAAGGCGTTCGCAGAACACATACACTGATAGAACAAGCAAACTGCATCGACAATGTTACAAATGAAAGGTTCATGTGCTTGCCGTCTGATCGTTATATTTGTGCACTCTTCCACACTCATACACATACATTCAGCAACTCATATGAGCTCATCGTCATTCGGTTTCGCTTTTTTCCTTATAATTTTGTTGTTGCTGTTGCTATTATGTGTTTTGTGATTTTCGAGCTCAAAAGATAATGGAAGAGAAACAAAAGCCAGAGACTCGATGAAAAGCGAATCGACAACAAACTCAAACGCGAACAACACACACACACAAACACAAATGAAGAAAGAAAGAAAACGAGAAGACGTAATAAATGATGATGATGGTGCGCATTATACGCCTTGATGATGACGATTACATTGAAAGAGAAACACCAACCGAACGAAGCGAAAACTGTTTCGGCTGCTTCACTTTTGATTCTTCTTTATCGAGTTTCAGAGCTTGTTTTCCATACTCATGATGTTTATTGTGTTACAATATAAGACAGCAAGAGCAATGCGATGAAAATTATTTTTAAATTTTTCGAGGTTAACGCATTTAATTGTGTCGCACTCGTGTTTTATAATGCAAACCGCGCGCGAGACTTCTCTCAATGCTACAGACAAAGTCAAGCGCGTGTCATGTGTGTAAAGGAGAGAAACGATTAACAAAAGGAAAAAAAACAATACACTTACATACACACAATAAGGCAACAACGGCAGCGACGACAACAGCGGCAAATATTAAATTGGCTATAAATGGCCAAGTAAAATGTGTTAAAATTCGGTTCCAAATTGTATGCATTACATTTTCAGTATTGATAAATAAAAAATTATACCCGAAGAAATGTGGCTTGTATTTAGCAAATGTTTTATATATTAGTGAATGAAGATTACCGACATTTGATGCACACAAAAACACAATACAGCGCATATATATAATTCAATGCAAGTAGCATACGTATGGTGCACACAGTGCGAACACAGCAGCAATACTCAAATCCGAGATTCAAAAATGATATAAAAAGAAGTTTTGCCATTTTACGAAATCGAGCAAGATGCGAAAGAGAAGATATATTTTGTGAACGAAACAAAGCACAAAATTCACAATGTTAATGTTCACATTTGTGCCAAACTAAGCGTAGTTTTCAAATGAATTTGTAATAACGACTCTGAAAATGATCGTTGCGTTGATAGAAATGTGTGCGCCTGAACTTGTTTGTTGGTTTCATCAAAACATTTACATCGAATTAACTGAAACAAAGTGTAGAATGGAAGATTTGTGGCACAATGTTACGCATAGCGCATCAAGTTTAATGTTTTGGCAATGCATTCGGTATATTGGCATTTGCTGACGAATTACAAAACTCAAAACAAAACAAACAAAAACCACACGTTATCAAACTATTTTGAGTTGAGTCAGACGGTTGTGTTTGGTTTGCATTCGGATCACCCAATTGAAAAACGGTTTTCGACTTTAAGAATCAAAACCCGAAATACGCACATCAATTTAATGGCAATCCAGACCTATTCTATATTCGAAATCGTCTCATATACATACTGCACACACAAACACACAATATACAATGGCTTGAGTGACTTCAAAATGTTACGCATTCATTATGACATTACCAGCTAGTATAGAGAAAACGATGTGTGTTTTTTTGTTGTCTGTCGATACGGAACGTACGAGAAACTTTGTTAGCGAGAGTAAGAATGAAACGGGAATGAAAATACATAGACAGAGAAAGAGAGAGAAAGATAATAAGAACAGACGACGCACAAAAACATGTATCGAATGAATCCATTTGTCAACAGAAGAGCGCACCGTACATGCTCTCACTCACTCATTCTCAGCCTTACTCATACCATATCGGACACGATACGCGCCGCTATATATATATACACACCGAGAATGATTTCACTCATTTCAGAGCACACTATGTTTAGCCGCTTACATTTGGATGTACGGAAAGCCGTGAGGAGAGAAACAAGAACTCCAAAACTAAACTAAAGCAATACCAAAAATGAACAATCCAAAAGAATTTTTGAAGCAAAAGATTTATACACAAACAACACTAACACGCGTACACACACATTTACTTTAATCACGTTTTATTTTTGCCTGTTTTTGCCGTTTCTCTTTATTTAAAAAAAATATTGTTTCCTTTGAATTGGTCGATTGTATTCAAATGGATCGCTGCTCCACACTCACACTCACACACAGTCAATATCGTTTGTATTTTGTGAATTGATTTCATGAAATGAATTACTCATACAAAAATTACAAATACTTTTTGAACTTTTGAACGAATAAATCTTGTTTTTTCCTTCAATCAATATTCTATGTTCGAGAAGCCGTGCTCAAATGTTTACTTGGTAACGTCCATCGATTGAGATTCACACCATTGATAAAATTGACTCTGATTGCAAACAATAAGGATCACATATTGATATACTCTTTTCATACAGTAGAATAATAACATTCTGTCAACGATTCATCACAACAATGCAAAGCACTTTCATATACAACAAAAACTTTGTTTTTGCTCTAACTCATTTTTATCTCTGAAAATATATTACTCGATATTACGATAGTGTGTATGCTTTGCTCCCAGAAGCAAATTGAACGAACTTAGAAATAACTTGATTGAGGTGATGTTAACCCGAGGAATTCAAGGTGCATCAACTAAATAGAGCTATATACATATAAATATATGTGTGTGTATCTGGGGTTATTTATATTACAATGAATCGATTGCCGCCGATTGGAAAAACATTCCATTTATTGTGTGCATTTAAAGAACTGGCGACAGCATTTGCATTTTATGAATTTGTACCATTTTCATTTCTCCGTTTCATATATTCGTAGCATTTTCCATTCGTAAATAATTAAAAATAGTCATGATAACGTAGAATACATGCGAAAACTCACGCGAAAACACACTCAAATGCCATTAAAATTGGCATGCACCGACATGTTTTGTGATGATCTGTATTTGTCTAATACGAATAAGAAATATATCGAAAAATGTTCGCAACCATTTTATGTTAGTTGCAAACAGCAATGACCTCCAGCTCTGCTTGCAATGAACTGCGTTAATTTGTCGATTATTTCGTTTTTCGGGCACATTGGTTTTATCGTGGCGGTAATTAAAGATTTTCTTGATAACAACAACGATTCTTCTTCATACTTTGTTTTTTTTATTATCTTCGAAATAAAAATGTTCGCCGAACTCAGCACATTTCCTCATGTTCAATGTAGTATTAAATTATATTGACACAAATATTAAATTAAATTTAAACGATGAAACGTTGGCTGTGTGAGCGCCCGATAGGAAAAAAAATGTTCAATGAGAAACAAAGAGCACACACAGCGAGCGCAATGAAGAACGAGGTAAAATTGAATTCAGCGATGAAGAAAGAAAGAATGAAAGAACTAACGAACGAATCAACGAACAAAAAATATCCATATAAGTTACAAATGTGGATGTGTCACGACGCGTAAAGTTTGTATATTATATCGCAACATATAGTCATTGGGAGAAAAGGAGTACGAGCAAAAAAGAAGCGTATTTTCGCGCGAACACTCACAAAAATACAGCAAATATGTCAATGTATGGAGTGCACAACTCGTGTATATTTGGATGGCCAGCATAATACGAAAGAATGAGATAGAAACCGACCAAGGGTACACACTGTATACGGATTCAGATTGCTTTTGTGCACCAAATGAATATGCTCAATTTTATAGAATATATATATATATCGACGCGAAAAAGGCACACAAAATAAACTTTGTTATTTATTTTCTGTTTCTTTCGTCGGCTTGATGAGTGTATTTTTTCTGTAAATCAACCATGCAGTGCAAATGCGCGTTATGTGCGCACAAATCACAAATGTACACGAACGAAAAAGAAAGAAAGAAAGAAAAACACACACATCACCTCTTATTTATTGTTTATGACTTTTTTATCAATTTCTATTTTGTATACACATCGCTGCCATTGAATGCGCTTTTTGTAGCTAGAAAGAGAGACTTGATGTATAAAAATATTGAGTATGCTTTTGTTGACAGTAACGATGATGCTGGTGTTTTTTTGTCGTGATATTGATGACAGGAAAAAAGACACACATACTCACACGCATGCCAAAATACATCAACCTAGCGATGAGACCGCGAAAATGCAAATATGTACAGGGATTTGAATACTGAATGAAAAAAAAATGTGTGGCTTCTGTTTGCGTAAAATATTTCTTTTTTTCATCGGAGTTGTTGTATTTATATTACTTCGAAGAAAAGGGATTATGCGATTTTTTGGTTCACTTACATTTTTTAATACCAAATTTGATACAAACAGCGTTGTGTTCTATGATGAAATATTGACAACCTTTTTTGTTGTGAGCTGCGTTTGCTTGGGTCACTTGTCACATTGAATATATTGTTATATATTCTTCATATATTTACTTCGATAATGATTTTTTTTTTGCAAAACAAGGCGCACTTTTTTCTGTTGGCCGTAGATCGTTTACCATAAACAATCTATTTAACACACACGAAATTTAAAAGCAATGAAACGGTTTCTGCTTTATGTTTATTTTTATTCACCTGGATGTATGTAATTCTTTTTTTATTTTCAAATTTCTTTTTTCTGTGTTTTGCTTTTATCGTCGATTGATCAAAATTATATACAAAATGCGATTCGGAAATTTATTCAAAATATACACAGGCTATTTACAAAGATAAGCGGTGGAAAAAAAAATGAATCTAGAAATTTACATTTTCAATTCACTTAAATACGCTTGGGTTTCACAAAAAAAAATTCGCGAACCGCGCGATTTGTCTTTGTTTCTTTCGTGGCTTTTGGTTTTTGTTGATTTTTTTTTATTGCATTGATAATAATTGTTGAGCGGATTGTGTGGCCTTGTCGTTTGAAAATTGTGTAGTGTTTTGTTATTCTTTTTTTCACTCAGCCTTATGCTACCATTTCACATGTGACAATAAAACTGTCGAATTTTTGCCATGAATTCTGTCGTCGTCGTCGTTGTTGTTGTGGTTGTGGCCGCGTCAGATTAGTTTACAACGGCCTGTTTGATCGGTGACTGACAATTTTTTTTCCAAGATTGTTTTTCTACCGCTCTTTTCGTACTAGTTCCCGAAGAGCTGAATTGACACTTTTTGTACACACTTTAACATGTCTATTGTAATGTTATTATATTTTCGAATGCGATTCGTCTACGGTGATATTCCCGGCAAGAAAACCAACTCACACAATGTTAAAACGTTTATTTCGCTTCTATACATATAATAGCGTGCGCGTTGATATCAATGTCCATGCATAAAATGCCAAACTCAATTCAACATACACATATAAACGTATGTGTTGTAACGGGCATGGGTCGCGTTTGAATAAAAGTCCTCGGTTTTTCGGTGTTTAGCTGCTTCGATATGCTTCTTCTCTCTCTGGGAATTTATTCGCATGAAAGTTTTACTCGTGAAACGTGAACTGCACGCCAAATCCCGGTTGTCAAGTCGGATTAAATTTTCTGACTCCAAAGTTATGTCTTTGTACGGTTTTGTTGTTTTTATAGCTGAATTATATTGTTGACCATTAACGGTTTGATTATATGCGTTTCTAGCTGCATAGATACTATCAATCTCATTCTAATCAGAATTGATATGAGTTAAAAATGTTTACAATTGCTATTGGCGATAAATTTCGGATTTTCCTTGCGGATAACAAGTTACGTTGCATGTATGAAAGAACAAATGGATGTTGCGTTAATTACAAAAAAATACGTCGTTTCTCTTTTTTTACAAATTATATACAAGTTTTTTTGTTTGCGGTTCTATGTAGTTTGCTCTGACAAAATTCCCTTTGAATCTTTTGGATTTGTTGGAAAACCACGTCGATTCAATGCGATAATAAATGTTAAGCACAATAATCATGCGATCGAATTGATTGTGTCATCAAGTCCAAGCGACCACTCAAGTTGTTTAACTCTGCAAAACAAAGTGTGCGGTTCTGAATGATAGAAATGTATGGAATCGCGCGTGTTGTTGTTTAGAGACAATGACGATGTTTGCACCGACAATAATGAATCGCAGGCGCACACTCTTTCAAACTCAAAATGCCGTCATACACACACAAAACAATATTCGTTTCACTTCACTTTTTGTCCAAAATATCGTATTTTACTGTGTTGCCAAACGTTTTTTTTTTTCGCTTTATTTATGGTGATTCGGTTGGATCCAATGGAGAGAAAGAGTTAAAAGAACTGTACAATGAAATGACACTTTCGATTGTTGTCTACTCGTTTTGGATTCAAATGAATATGTACAATTTACAAACAGAACCGAAATGACTGAACTAAAGAATGTAAATTACAAGAATGTACAGGACAATTTACGGTTCATTCAACTAGAAAATGTTATACACACAAATTTGGTTTTATTTTTATTGAGTTTTAAATAGTTTTGTTGCTGGCTTTTTTATACACATGTAAAATCGTCCAATTTCAATATTTAAATAAAAACACAACAAGCAACGATTGTTTTTTTCTTCTTCTGTATTGTTGGTGTTTGTCGATGTACGTGTGTTGGTAAGAGGAACACTGTAAAGTCACATACAATCTATACACAAGTGAATGACGAAATTGACGGCGGCGACTACGACGGCATCAACCGACCGAAAGGAATTAAAATTCAGACTAAAAACGCACATACACACGGGGCGAACACGAAATAGCAACAACAATTATAAAAGCCACGCACAAATACACGATTCTTCGATGCCGCTACCAAATGTGTGTATATATGGCAAGCAATGATGTCTGCTGTCTCTTCCTCGGTTCTATGTAGTGTGGAATATAAACGCTGTTTTTCCGTGTATTCTTTGTTGTATCTCGCAGGAATATTCACACTCTCTCACAATTGAATTGAGTGAAGTTGTTGTTGTTTTTGGTCTTTCGTCGTCCACAATTCTTTCGATGGTCGAATGATTTTTGATGGATTCTTTTATCTGCTATTTGTTTTTTTCCTCAATCACTCTATAATTTCTTTAATACACGGGGAGCCTCTTTTCTCTCTCTCTCTTCCTTTCTCACTATCGGTGTATGATTTTTTTTCAAACAAAACTTGTTTGTAACACACGATGAAAAGCCGAGAAAATCACAAACTGATTTTGATATATTTATTCGCATTCACCAAAATATCAAAGTCCCGGAATGAAAATGTTTGCTCGTAATCAATCGAAATTCTTCCCTTTTTTACTATTTTTTATATATATTTTTAAGGTTCAAATGTTTTTTCACTGAAGTGTTTGGATATTTTTTACTCTGATAATGCGTTCTTTTTGTTTACGGTGCAATGCTGTTCTGTCTTTTAACTTTTTTGTGAATATTATTTTATTGTTGAATTAATTAAAATAAACTGTACACAAACTATTTACACGGAAACTATTTAGTTATGTTGAATTTTGTTTTTTTTTCTTTCTGTTTTCTATACAATTTAAAAGAGTGTGAGGAGAAACGCGATAAAAATATAAATCGAAAATTAAACTAAAGATACTTTTGTTTTATACAAAGAAAGCGAAATTTCTTTTTTTTTTGTTATTTCAAATGCCAAAAAAAACTGTTTCCCTTCAAAAACTCGTGTGGATGTTATTTTCTGCAAATTTTTTGTAAGGTGTGAGTGTGTATGAGTATGAGAGTCGGGTTAAATATTTAGTCGCGTTTTTTATTATTATTATTGTTATTTACTATAGTTTACAAATTTTATCGAATAAAAAACTGAACACAACGCACTCGGTTCTGCTCTCGGTGTGTGATTGAGGTGGTGGTGAACTGAGCCATTCGTTTGTTCTAACTAGTCGATTAAGTCTCTCGAATTTCGTTTTGCCATTACACTACCACCAAGCAAACTTATCGCCATAGCAGAATAATATCTTTAGCGCAACGCGTTTCTATCTATCTATTCGTCATTCAATTGTGTAAAGATTTTCGAACCTGCGATAATTTTGTATATGTGGCACATCATATAAAATAATTGCGCATGCGCAGTTAGAACTGTTGACAATCATTCCTAAATAAATACATAAAAATTCCATTGAAACATTTATCGAAGTCATAAAATTTGTGTTGCTAAAGAGCAAATGTATAGCGCTCTGCTTCTTCTTTGTCGTTTTCCTGATCTTTTTTTGTGTGTCGTTTATCGGTCTTTGCATGAGAATGTGTGAGTTCCTGTATTGTTGGTGCTGCTGCTGCTTCTGCCGTGTATTTGTTCTATACCAATTCTACAGTGCTTGATGTTTTCGGTAGTGCAGCTGGTTTTGCACGAACCTAGCGCTCACGTACGTGTATCAGTTGTGTATGTGTGTAAGTTTGTGCGGATGAGCTTCCCTAAAGAAGAGCAAAAACGAAATGTTCTACGCTTTTGTCGTTTGAGCATGTATTGTGTGTGTGCATGTGTGCGGAGACCATTTTTAGGCGAAATGAGCGACAACGCACATTACCTTACTCAATAATTCAACCATTTTTTGAGCGTTCTCCGTGTGGCAGTGACAAATTCAGGCACACATACCATCAAATATCCGCCATATTTTGAACAAGTATATTCAATATCGGTATGTGTGTGAACTTGCGACAGTTCACAATTTTTTTTTTCTCTTGTTGTCTCTGTCTTGTTCGTATATGAGAATAGAAACCGCGTGCGCGTTATTGTATGCGTTGTTTTCGGCATGGACGAAAAAAAGCGTTGAAACAACTACAAAGGCAACGACGGCTGCTGCTGCAGCAACAGAAATAGCAAATAGGCTTGTTGGATAAGACAGCAGCATTTGGTATGTATATTATGCTATTTGATTTGCCAGATATTGGACTCTCGATTCACTCTCGCTCTCACTTTTATAATGTATGAGCCGATATATTCTCAGTCAGCATTAATGTAGCAATCTGCATTATTAATATGGTTCGAGACTATACGAATTCCTCATTCATTCCCTATTCAATATATGAGACATGATTCATTTGATTGACATAATTTTAGCAAATTCCATCGATGAATAATTTCATTTTGATTGCAGTTCTTGTATGCGATGCAGCATATATGAAACAAAAAAGAAGAAAAAATCTACCTAACTGAGAAAATACCATGACATTGATACAGCGCGAAAGCAATGAACAGATTAAGCAATAGCAATTTTTCGTGTTGTTTATTTGCGTTGTTTGCTGTTTCAGCATTGCGCATGTCATTTTTTTTGTCATTCTCTCCCTTTGTCGCTTTTGCTATAACAACATATCGGTGTACGTGTGTATCTGTGCATCTGTCATGAGCTAGCGTGCTTTTTGTGAGTAGCTCAAATCTGTATAGCAATGAGAATCAAAAGCGGTTGTTTGTGCGGTTATTTCGATACTTTGACAGCGCTCTCTACTTAATACTTATGACTCTCTGATGTGACGGCTCTGTGTAGCTAGTGTACGAATGCATTTGTTGACACACACGAATAGTGTGTAAAGCGAAATTGCGTACGCTTGATGATACATGAGTCAATCAAAATACAAGATTGGAGTAGTAGTAGATTATTTAAAACCAACTTCAGATTAAAACTGTATGATAATAAAAGACGTTATAAATGTTTACTATTCTTTCACATTTTTTTTTTGATCAAACACATTCGAACGTTCATGTCTTTTGTTTAATTTAAGAAAATACATTGTTGAAAACAGGATTTACATACTTTTTCTTTCGTTATCGTTTCCAAAATTGATTATCGATGATGTTATGTATTTTTTTTTTTTTTTTTTTATAAAAAAATAGACAAGATTAACAAAAATTAAGATTAAGGAATGAACTTTGAAA